GAGGGATTAATCAGGTGTAGAAAAATCAGAAATAATTTTACATACAGATGAAAATGAATTTTTGAGAATTTTTTTAAATCGTGTATTCACTGCACGATAAAAGACCTAAAAGCACTAGTGGCCTTAGGTTCTTAAAGATAGCAAAAAAAGTAAACAGTCATGATACATATTCAAATTCATTTCTGAATAGTAAAATGAAAGTACTTCAGTAAACTGTGAATGTAGAATTTTTAGCAGTGTTAGTAAGTGGTGAAAATTCTAAAAAGGCTATCATTATCCCTTATGGGCCAGGAAATACTACCGTGCCACCATTATAGCACTACTTTCGATAAAGTCGGTCTAGCTAAATGATGTATAACCTCCTTACCACTGATACCAAGTAGATATTTTATCTAGGTACTTCTACTTGAAACCAGGTAATTAGCTAATCCGGTTTATAAAAAGTCATTTCTGGTGTCATATGATAGGTTGTTTGATACTGATTCACAAACATTGTGGTTTCTATGTACTTTCCCGTGAAATAAGGTAGAATATCAGCTACTTCGTTATAGTGTACAAAAGATCCCATGACTTTATCATTTAGTTTAAAGTTACAAACAGGTACAATAATTGCTATAAAATGTCATGTGATTGCTTCGGACCAAATGCATCATATGTTCATCTCAATAACCTAAAACATTTGCAACAATCTTTTTACATCTATTATCTGTACTTTCAAATAAGGTGCAATGTCAACGCAAGGTCAAAATTTAGAACATGACCTTGACCTTTGACCTTTTTCTAAATTTCCAAGTTATGGCCTATGGATCTCAAATAAAAAAAGGTCCTAGGTGATTACGGATTTCAGATTATTTGTAACCCCTACATACCACTCAGTAAAATAAAAACAAATCTGGTAATAAATCCAATTATATATCAATGGATCGCTTTGGTCAAAATTGACCGAAACATCATGAGGATAAATGAACAAGTTAAAAAAAGAAGTTAGACGATATTTTGTTTCTGTTGTGCGTCCATAAGAAAAACAGTGTTAGAGACCGAGATAATTTGAGTCTTACAAAGAAAAAGTGTTCGATTAAAAAGTGCGAGTTCCAAACGCGTCCTGTTTGATATCATATACAAAATATCTTATTCACGGCTTTCGTGGATCTAGCGTACTTAGATAGAATGTAGGACAGAAAATCACAGGACAAAAAGTCACGATGCAGTTTTGAGATCATTCTTTGAATAAGACAACACTTCTTTTTTTATAACATTTTTGTATAATTCTGTAACTGTTAAATATAAAGCAACTTTGTATAACTAAATTAATTTTTAAAAAGTCAATAATGATCAAAAAAGTGTAAAGAAAACAATTTGTCACAGTGGCTTGGTACTTAAATGGCTTCATGGTGCCAAGAAACATATTCTTTGCATGATTAAAATTTGATAAATCTTCATTTATCAAGGCTTATGAACAATTCCCTAAACTGTAGAATGAATATATGTAATAAAAAGAAATTATTTCAAGAACTTTCTCTTATATATATATTCAAACAATTATGAAAAAAATATTTATGATTTTTTTGTCTAATATGGCCTTGAAATTCAACTTTATCATAAAATATCAAAATGGCCATACTTTGGTTCTTAAATGGATTTCTTTCAAAAGCCTTACTACTAGGTTAAACAAATCTCTTCATTAGAGTACATTCTAGGCTTCAAAGTAAGCACATTGTGGAATATATTGTCAAAAAACGATGATTTTGTGCATTTTTCGGACTTACAAGCCCGAGAAAACCCTTGGCCGCAACCTAGCATCCAAAATGTTCTGTAGCCAAAAGTTGCCACTGATGATATTAAATCTCTAGAAACAAAATCTTTCTGGATCGGGGGTGGCTGTCAAAGTAAATTATGTTAAAAACTGTTAAAAAAGATTGAAAATTTGACCAAAACTGACGTTACAACACAAATAATGCATACTTGAGGGGTAATTTCTTCGTAATTTTTAATGTTAAGTGCCTGGTTTTAATGATGAGATTGTACGATAAGTGGATCGATATCACCGCTGGTGGATGTTTCGTCCCTAAGGGTATCACCAGCCCAGCAGTCGCGCTTCTGGGCCTACATGGAATATCAATGATGCGGTCATTTCTTTAAAGTTACTGTTCATAAAATGTTAGCATCATTCGAAACACAAAGGGTTTCCTACACTTAGGCAGAAATGGCATTATCCAGGTGTAACACAACTTTTTTAAAATTTCTTGTTTTGAAAGTTATCTTCAACTTCTAAATTTATCTGAGGGGCTTCGGTGGCCTAGTGATCTAAGTAGTTCATCTACCATGTCACAAGCCAACTAGCTTGTCAACACTGAGGTTGTGAGTTCGAACCCCGCATTTAGCAGATGCGTTCGACGCCAATCTTAATTTACTAGGATTGTCAGTTTTCCTGGTGAAGGTCGGTGGTTCTCTCTGGGCACTCCGGCTTCCTCTAACAAAAATAACTGACCACCATGCTAAAGTCAATAATGCTGCAAGTGGCGTTAAACACAAACAACCAATCAATCAATCAATCAATCTTTATTCAATCGACCTCCGTTGTTATATACGTTTTCCTTAACTGCGACTGTGATTAAGATTTGTATCAGGATTTTTCAGCATTCGGCCATGCATTTATACGCAATACTACAGCGTTCAACATTATAGAAAAATGTCAACATCATCGTCAACATTCTCATAAAATGTAAGTATTAGACTGGCAATGTCAATCCGGAATTGACATGTATAAATACAATGTACATATACAATCAGGAAACTACAATAAAACAGGGAAATCTTAAGAATGTCCTGTCTGACAATGTTGTTATTAATGAACAATAACGACGTGCTTACATTTTTGTGCTGTTATAAAGCTGTTATAAATGTACTTGTCGTATACTTTTTTTCTCCGTAATTTATGTTAGCCCTTTGTATGGTTTTTAAACTTAAATTGAGAGGTGAATTAACATTAACATTATCTAATAATTCGTTTATATGTTATTTTATTGAATGATATCGAAATTCTTACAATAACTTCCGCAAATTTCAAAACGTTACCCATACGTTATCTTAAAAACCTAGATTTATGCAATGTTTGACTTACAAAAGAACCCTATTTTGTAATAGAAATTGGAAAAATACTATAATCAGATGTTGAAGGTTATACTAGAAATTTATTTTTATTTCATTACATTTAGAGGGAAAATAAAGAGAAAAATATGTTTTAGTTATTACATAATAAAGCATATACATGTATTAACACAATACAATGATGAAATGACACCGGCGGAAACATGTATCTTAAAAAACGAATTTGCAGAATTTAATTGTTTCATTCTTATATACTTTCATTTGAAAAAAATGTGGCGCATCAATATTTTTTTAATATTTGAAGAAGAAAAAAAAGAGATATGCTTAATATTCCAGTTGTAAGCTTCCCATTTGATGTAGCAACATTCTAACAGTACCTGAATATGGAGCACACATTCCAGGTTGAGATGATACTCCAGAGTTTCTTTTTCCATCATGATTTCTTTGAGAGATAGTTGCTGCTTTTAAAAAGAAGCTACTGGACAAACGGTTCTCAATGGTATAAAGTTGATGGCATTTCTCCGACAATGGACAAAGGGCACTAGCTGTCAAATTCATGTTCACCGATTTGACTCAAATTCTCATATTTGATTTATAACAATGTAAAACATTTATCCAAACTATTAAAAGTCTAAAATAAGCAGTTAACAGGACATGGGCATGATAACACGTAGCTTCGTTTCGTGTGTATTTTAGTCTAGACGCCATCTAATTAACTGTCGAGTTGACCTACAAAGTCATCCGATGTAAACATAAATAAAGATATAAATCGATTAAGCGAACTCGTGCTATTGGATTTTTCTAGGTCTGTTTAATTTCATATTATTGATTAAAAATATATGTTTATCATCGTTTTTACCTGCATAAGAATGATTTTTTGTGGATCGGATCAGTCAATCAAATGATTTACCTTTGTTTCACTTTCAATGTTGACATTCTTTTCCTTTAAATAACTTTACACATACAATTCACGTGTTATCCATCTCTAGATAAGGGGTTAAATTGAAGTTCACATGAATACGGATTCAATGAGGTCGAATTATTCACTTGCAAGTGAATAATTCATCATCAATGTTTCTTAGCTTATTTTGACAAAATTGAACCATACTGGCGGCTAAAAGCGAATAATTATTTCACTATTTCACTTTCATTTATGATTGAACAAAACAAAATCATATATTAGATTTTTTACATATCTCGTAGCTAGTGCCCTTTAAGAATATCTTTGTCACAGATGATCACGAATTCGAATATATTCGAATTGGTGAATTATCTTTTCCTCTTGCATTACTTATCAACTACAAAGACTGACATGAACCACTCGACGAATGCCTCTAGCGGAGACGGAAATAATAACCTTTCCGGTGTACGGTGTCCGGGATCGTATGAGTGTTGTTCAGTGTTGGAATCTGTGTACATTATTTCAGATCCTTTTTTTTTCTTTTGGTCATGGTGTTATCTGTCATGTTTATGATTTTTGGTTGCCCCTTGATATCTTTTATTAGATTAAATATCACATTTTGGTTCTAGAAAGTAAGAGAAGATACCCGAACTAATCATCCCTCTTTAGGAAAATCAAACGACTTCCGTTTGTCTTGCAGGATTTTGTATTTGCCTCTCTGGATACATGGTATAATACATTAATACGTGTACACATGAATCACTGAAGCAGGCGTAAATCTAGCCCATGGAAGAACAAGAAAGTGGTAGGGAAAATTTGCAGGTCTTTGTTGGGCTAAATTTTAAAAGAAGCATGTATTACGTTAGAAGTCGGAATTGTTTGTTATGTATGAGATCCTAGAAAATGTTTTATTTAAGTCATTTTTTAAAATTTCAAATAAAACACAATTGTAAAGGATGTTTGTCCTACTTTATAAAAGTAATGCACTCACCGTACTCAACTAAAAGTTCTATCATATCCCCATTTAATTTTTCTGTTGCTGCATGGAGAGGTGTGACATTATAATTGTCCGTTAAATTTACTTTACATCCCATTTCCATCAGACGTTTAGCATCCGGTAAGTCTCCTTCTTTAACAGCCAGGAAAAGGGGTGTTCGCCCTTTCGGATCTCTCTTGTCTAAAATATCTTCAGGATTTGGCGGAAGAGACGAGATGGTTAGAGAACGTTTCCTTGGACGCGGCAACAAAGGCGATGATGAATTCAAACTCCACGATGAAGGATATTGTTTTAAACTTACAGCAGATGAGGTTGACATTGTTCTTTCAACTTCGGATTTTTCTTTTTCGTTCTTATTTTCTTTTCCGGATTCGACTTCCATAGTTTATCTCTTTGTTTGGCGATAAATTCTATCTTTTTATATCTGTAAAACGTGAATAATATCACTACGTAAAATAATCGCCATGCATATAACGATGGATATGAGGTTTATTTTTATGCATCACTGTGACATATTACTTAATTGCGCATATGCATTAGACAGGCCTTGGAAGAAAATCAATCATATATTTCCAAATTTCGAAAGGTTTCTGCATGTAAGTGAATTGCACAAAAATGTCTTTATATGTCATTCAATCAAATAACGTTTTTCTATATGTGCGATAGTATTTATACACGTTTTCCAACTGTTTAGATATACCTTCAGGGGACAGTATCTGTCGTTCATAGTATGAAGTAATCTGCATTAATTAATGTCACATGTGTTAAATTAAAACGTCACCTGACTGGTTTTGTTTTCCAGACGTAATTGGTGGAGAAATAATGGATGCACAAACAGACATAAACGTACTCGCCATTAGTATGAAATAAATGTGATTTAGAACTGACCATGCCGTTGGCTAAAATATGTACACACAAAGGTACATTTAGCTCGAAACAAACAATTGTAATATCAGAATCTTAAAAATACCATTGATGCAATATCTGAGATTTAAAGTGTTCAGAATTCTGATTAAGAAATCTCTGGACAAATAGTAGGTAATATGTTTCACTGCGCAGATCATTAATTTTTATTTGTTGCCAAATACAACAGAAATAGATATAGGCACAAACCCACCACATGTACCGTTTAGAGAGTTTACAATGTTATGTAAAAAGAGATTACTATTCAGTGAACTACTATTCATAAGCAACTGCTAATGTAAAACTGCATCCATTCAACCCAGCATATAATTATATAAGACATTAAGATTTAGTATTGAGCTTTTCAGACGACCTGTAAGCATATGTAGTGCGGTAGAATTTACAAATATTCATGGGTTAATCATTCTTAAAGTTTAATGAAATAGAATACTTAGAGTAAAACTTATTGACGGAATGTCGTATGGTAATGACATTGGTCACTGACAAGAGACAGTAGCTCATTTTTGAAACGCCTCTGATGAGTCTATCGTAGACTAAACGCGCATTTAACGTAACAAATTATAAGCCTCGTATCTTTGATAAAAAAAATATTATAAAACAAACTTTACCACATCTCCTTATTTTATATTTATGGTTATAATTAAAGAATAAAATACTTCATGATTCTCCCTTCTCGTAGATGTTTTTTATCACTCAATTTTATCGTATAAAAATCATCTTCCTTTAAAATGTTTGTCGAGTTCCATTCTGAAAGCTATATTTGTTTAAATGTTTTTGTCTATAAATTTGGCGATATTGCGGTACTTAAAAAGAATAGATTATTTTTACTTAAAAACAAACGTTCATAATCATAAACAGTATAAGACAAGGATATTCCATTTCATCTGTGCTGTTACATTTTCTAATTTATTTGCATAAAGTATAATGCTTGTTTAGACACCGTTGTACCGTAACATAAGACAAAAATGTTTGATGAAAAGACACAGGGAATTTTGATTATGCATGAGATCCTAAAATGATTTATTAACGTCAAGATTTTTTATTTTAAATAAAACAAAATTGAAAGTGGATCAAACTATGTCATCATATATCTATGGTTTGAATATTATGTCATTAATTTAATATACTATTTCCTTCTTTAAATATTGTTTGAATTTGATTTTTTAAATAATTTGCATAATGTTAAAATATTAACAACTGTTTTCTTAAATTAATAGTTAATTATAACCAGCTGCTACATCATGACTATATATGTATTTCTGTATGCCCCCTTCACATACACGGAATTTTATTACGAGTCCTTACGGATTCCCAACTCGTAGTCAATCACAAGCATTCGTGAATAACTCGCTGGTGTCGTGAATAACTCATCACAACTCGCAACAACTCGCAGGCACTCTTAAGGATTCGTGAAAGGAGAGGCAAATTTTTTGACATGTCAAAAATCTTCTTACGATTGTCCACGGATTGATATTTCCGTGCATAACTCGTAACGATCCATAAGTATCGAAAACCGTTCGTAAACCGCTCGCAACAACAAGTAACCACCGTAAACTGCTCTCAAGAATCCGTAAATGACTCGTTACAATTTTTTTTTTTTTCGAGTTGTTACGGTTTAGTTTTCGATTTGTTACGGTTAGTTTTCTATTTGTTTACGGATTATTACAAGTGCTTACGTGTTGCTTACGATTTCAAACGGGTCGTGTTACGGTGGCTTTATGGATTTTACGAGTTTTTATGAGCATTTTACATGTAGTTACGAGTAGATACTTAATATACTTAACGTATTCTTACGTATTGTTTACGATTTGGGGAAAGATTATAAAGCTGCAAAATAGTAAGGACTCGTTAATACTCGTAACTATCTCGTTACTATTCGTAACAGCACGTAAACAGTTCGTAATAAACATATTAAAACTTCGATGGATAGTAACATTTCGTAATTTACTCGAAACAATCCGTAAAAAGCTCGTAAAATGCCTAAAAGTTGCTCGTAGTTTTCCGTGACAATTCGTACATAATGTAACAAATCGTGGAATTTTACCGTAAATAGCTTGTAATAACTCGTAACAACTCTTTAATTGGTCATAAAAGTGGCCAAATCGTAAGGATCCGTGAATTTGTGCGATCGGAAAGGACTCGAAAGAAAAATCCGTACATGTGAAGGGGGCATTAGTTAGTGCATGTTCTGAGAAACGTGAAAATGATATGTAAAAAAGAGGTTCATAAGAGTCTAAATCGCTCAACTGGTCAAGTTATGCCATAGCCTGGTATTTTTTTTTTTGTTCCCCGCGTAACGCGCTGCGGGGGACATGGAAATACCGGGCGTCCGTCCGTGTGTCCGTCCGTCCAACTGTCCGGTCTTATTAGCGCTCTCCCGGATACAATCCTTGCCGGATTTTTATAAAACTTAAACTATAGGTTAATATCAGCAATATCTTGGACAAGTTCTATAATGGTGGCCGATCGACTTTTTTAAAAGAGTTATGCCCCTTGGAAATATTAAATTTTTGGAAAATGGCCTCGTAAGCGCTCTCACGGGTACAATTCTTGCCAGATTTTTATAAAACTTATACTATAGGTTAATATCAGCAATATCTCGGACAAGTTCTATAATGGCGGCCGATCGACTTGTTTTAAAAGAGTTATGCTCCTTGGAAATATTAAATTTATGAAAAATGGCCTCGTTAGCGCTCTCACGGGTACAATTCTTGCCAGATTTTTATAAAACTTATACTATAGGTTAATATTAGAAATTTCTCGGACAAGTTCTAAAATGGTGGCCGATCGACTTTTTTAAAAAGGGTTAAGCCCCTTGGAAATATTAAATTTTATGGAAAATAGCCTCATTAGCGCTCTCACGGGTACAATTCTTGCCAGATTTTTATAAAACTTATACTATAGGTAAATATCAGCAATATCTCGGATAAGTTCTATAATGGTGGCCGATCGACTTTTTTAAAAGAGTTAAGCCCCTTGGAAATATTAAATTTTATGGAAAATGGCCTCGTTAGCGCTCTCAAAAGTACAATTCTTGCCAGATTTTAAAAATATGTGCAACGCGGCGGACATTGGAACTCAAATTAGTCAAAAATCGACATTTAAGGGCAATTCTGCCGTATGCACTCTTGTAATCTTTATTCTATAGTTCTTGAGATAAGTGCCAAAAACACAAAATTCGTCAAAAATCTTCATTTCAGGATCATCATTTCATAAGGAGTAATCTTTAATCTAATTGTTTCGTTGTTTTGTTATTTTTGTAGATCTTATATTTCTGATATTTTTTGCAATTTACAGATTCTACCTGATATTTTTTTTTACAGTTTCTATCTATCTATTAGTCAAAAACACAAACATTTGTCTCAAGTCATCAATTACGGACAATAACTCCTTAAGGAGTCATTCAATGGTTTTGGTGTTATTTGCATTGTTGTAGATCTTTATTATTTTATTTAACATTTTCTACCTATTCAATATTGGTGTTTAGTTAATAGGCAAACATTTTTTCATGATTTTTACAGTTTGTTAAAATTAAGGACATAGTGAACTACAAAGAAAATGAGGTAAGCAATACTTTACGTATTAATGATGACCAAACACACCAAAAAGATGTACTACCAGAAAACGATTCTATGATTGATAGTCAAACAGTCCCAAAAGATATATCATCAATACAAGATAATACAATTATTCTTCAAAACGTAAATACCGCTTCTCATAGTACCGCCGTACCTTCTGATCAGACAAACTATCACAGTTTTCCTGACAAAGTTGTGAATTTATTACAATCTTTAAATTTAAAAATTTCGACCTTGACTTCACAAAATGCAACTCTTATCCAAATTCTTCACGACAAAGAAACTGAAATTAATAAACTCCAACATGAATGTGAAGAGTCCAAAGGAAGTGATCAAATACTACAAGTTCAAATTTCCAGACTATCTAGTGAGCTCAAACTTGCAAAACAAACAATTAAAGGTCTACACGATGAGATTGAAATTTTGTCAAAACAACCTCTCACTGACAAAATCCATGAAAAAGCCGTTCTAAGAGTGCAAACTCCAAAGCAAAAAGTCAAATCTACAAACCGCGCAAGCTTTAACAGTGGACTATTGTCATCGTCGACTCCTATTGTTGAGCAAAGGTCCATCACAGTTGATAAAGAGCATATCAGCGAGTCCAAGACTTCACCTAGACAAAAACTAAAGCTCAAAATACGCAGCCATCAAACAAGCAAATCAATTGATAACATTCTAATTTTGGGAAGTTCCATAACTAAAGGCATTAAAACAACAAATTTGAAAGAAAATGTATGCGTCAACACAAATCGGGGTGCTACCGTTTCTGATTTTGAGAAAAAGATTGCGGAGATTGATTTGTCACCTTTTTCAACAATTGTACTACAGTTTGGGGGAAATGATGCAAAAATGAGAGAAGAAGTATTCAAAAGCAAATACAAAAATGTTGTTCGAAGTGCGCGAATGAATGGAATCAGTAATATCATTATTGGAGGCTGCTTACCAAGGTCAAAAACAAATTTAAACCATATTAACAAAGCATTAATTGAAATCAGTAAAGAAGAAAACATCAAATTTATCAGCCATTTGGATAATTTTGTTTTGAGAAATGGAGAAATTGTACCAGGGTTAATTAGTACTGATGGTGTTCATCTCACACAGGCTGGGACAGAGAAATTAATAGATAACATCAACAGAGTGATAAAAATTAGGAGCGCTAGTGTCAATCTGTCAAATAGGTCTTATCAAACAAATGATGCAGATGCGTGGGAACCC